GCCACCCCCACCATGGCCACCCAGCAACTGGGCAGAGAACCCATTGCTGAAACTTTTGAAGCCCACCCCTGGATTTCAGCACTTTCAACCACAAGGGGAATTTTTTAAAGGGCACTACATTTGCAAGCCTCACTTTTTAATCACTTTTGGAAATTTCCTATTAGCTATCTTATCCAAGTGTAGGTTGTGTTCTGGAATTATCTGTTTTATTGTATTTTTTGAATTGTGTGTAAATGTATCTATTTGCCTGAATGCCAAGCTTCCAGGAATTCCCTGGTCTTTTTTGAATATAACTTGGTCTAGGATGGTCACGTTTCTCAGTTAAAATTAATATTGTGACATTGAGTGTTTATCATGTCTTCTGATTGATTAATGTTCATGGATGCGCTCTGCTAGTCTTCTGCACATTTGGCTGTTATATAATGGCTGTTAAGAATCTTATATATCTTATATTGTAGATGATTTCTTTCTTTTTCTTGTGCTCCTGCATCCTTTGGTTTACTTAAGATGTTTTGAAGGGCTTTCATTGTAATAATCTGGATGTTTCTGAGATGTTTTTGATGTATGGCAGTATTGTTTTCATAGCTTTCATATATAAAATCAATAAAATTTAGCAAACACAGAACACAATAAATAAAAAGTGTGTAAGCTAAAACAGAAAGAACAGCAGCTTATACAGACGCTTGAAATAGCTGTTCCCTTTAAGTCAGTTTGCCTTTACTCTGGAAATTTCTGTCATTTTTTTTCTGAGATTGAGGGAAAGATGTTACATCATTTCACATTTAGATCATCAGATTATACTTCTCATTTTGAAATGAAAAAGATAGAGGGATCTTGAACTCAAGGTGCTAAAATTATTTTGTGTGGGTTTTTTTTTATAAAATAATGCTGAGGCTTGTTGCCGTTTTAAGATTTGATTTAGTACGTTTCTTATTTTAAATATAGCTTAATTTCTTTCTTGGTAGATCAAATACATGTTTCTTAGTCACATATTTGCATTTTTCCTAATGTATTTTTTTTTCATTTTTCCCCCAGCAGGATAACAATCCATTCCCACATGTTAACAGTTAATGATAACTATAAGCAATGTATTACAATCCTATAATCCCATTTTTGTAGACATGTTACAAGCTAATGTTGCCAAGGAGATAACTTTAAAACATTCCTGGTAAATAATTTGGATGATGTGGGTTTGACATTTCTGAAAATCTGACAGTAATAAGATTTGTTGCCAAAGGAAACAGCTTTTTTTATCACACTTGCATTGCAAATAATACTATGCCAGTCAGTGTAGAAATGTGCCTTCATTGCTGCAAACAAATTTTCTTCTAGTTATTCTGAGCTGAGTGCTGAAAACTAACTCCTGCTTAAAATAATTCAATAGCTGATGAGCTATTAAAGATGTTCTTGAAGTGTCAGAGACTCTTACCTATTTCATTATTAGCCCTTATCAAATGACTGGTGTAGATAGAAATCAGAGGAGGGTTAGTGGAAATGGATTTAACCTGTCATATGCATTTATACCTCATATCTATAAAATGGAGTATGCATTCCAAGTATGGTTATTTTTGGGGGTGGTCTCTTTTAGAATGAGGAAACCAGAAGTCACTGCCTCTTGCTTTCTTAACCATTAAACTAAACTGGCATGTTGATAGAAGCTGTTCATTTACCAGTGCTTTCAAATGTGTGACAAGCTTTCTAACTCTTACTGCTATAAATTCTTCATTGTCTAGTTGATTAGGCTATACTCCCAAATGTTCTGTTCTGGAGCTTCTCCTGAGAGTCATAGTCATGCAGAGACTTGGAGTGGCTGTTTCTGGTAGAGTAAGGGAGATAACCTTGACAGAGATATGCATGATTCTGTTACTATTTATAAATAGACTTAGCTTGCTATTGAATTGATTTATTGGTTTGCTTTACATAGTGGGGTTGACATCAAACTTATGTCACTAGCAATCAATACCATCACTATGACCCCAATTCTCATGTGAATTAAAGAAGTATCACACAAGTCTTTTGTGCATTCTTTCTCTTGTTTGGACTTAAGCCACATTTTCCCCCCTTGTAGGTTTGTTAAATGATTTGGCAGGTCATGTTCCTTACTTTCTACAATTTCACAACCCTCTTAAGTGTTTTCAGCATTCACACACATATCTAATAGATTTCACAAGTCTACTGTGCTGAGTGTGAGCTGAAGTTGTTTTTATATAGAGGAAAGAGGTCAGAAAAAGAGAGAACGCTGGTCTACATATTTCTCTTCCCAAATTATGTTCATGAGAATAATCTGAGCTGGTCTGTCTTGCATTAACCTCCTCAGGGTAATTATTAGGTTATAGGATTAGTTTTGTCATACCTGGAGAAAAACATGGATTTCCAGAAATAATCTTTTAAAGCAGCAGATAGTTTTTTTCTTCAATGTTTATAGAAAAGCCAAAGAGCAATTAACAGCAAAATTGTATTTTATGTCAAACTTTTAGCAAAAGCAAAAATATTTAAATATTACAAATTGAAGAGAAATAAGAAGAAAAAATTTGATATTTCAAGGCATTAAAAATGCAGTGGGACAATAAAATGTCTCTGTTTTTATGATAAACAAACTCTTTATTTGTCATGAATATACAAATCATTCAGTTGATAAAAAAACAAATGATAGAGAATCTTATTTTTTGATCTTTCCTTTCCACCACTATAGAACTAGCTTGAAGGTTGAGCATTACAGCTGTTATTGAGCCAGCCTATAGCATCTGGTTTGCACATGTATTTCCAGGAATATATACGTTGCTAGCATTCAGCTTAAGGGGTGAATGCACCTGGGGTGAGCTTGGCAGGTATGGAAGATGCAGAGTAGTCAGGTCTCTCATCCTTTTTCCTTGGGTTCCAGCAATAATCTTAATGGGGTGGTAACACATAGAGTGCTGTGTCCCACTGCCTGCAATTAATAGATGACAATGGTCATCCTTTGCCTGCAATAGATGACAATGTGTTTCCAAATAACCACAAAGTTCATCAGTTCTATGTCTGAATCTGAACACTTGACTATTTTTGTTACTATTGAATTCATTTTCAATTACTAATATAAATGAAGCCATCAGTGGCCTATTTTTTTCCTATTCACATCGATCATTACATGCAGATAATGAGATACAGGCAACTTAAGCATACCATTTCTATTCTGACTGAAGATTAATTGCATTCACTTTTTAGATTGTACTGTTTTTATTTTAAGAAATGAAACGGCTGTTTAACTTCAAGAAATTAGATTTTGATTTCTAAAATTGGGATTGAGAGTGGGGAAGACGCTTACATTCTCTTCAGTTTTTTCCTACCACCAAATGTATTTATGTTTGGGCCCTTTTGACCCATTCAGATTCACACAACTGTTTTCTCACCACCACAACTGTCCATAATGCTGTTGGCTTAAACAGAATAACAGAGTTTGAAAGGACTGTGGATGTCTTTTTTTCTAATTCCTTTCTCTGGCAAGAAACCCTATACCAGAGGTCTCCAACCTTGGCAACTTTAAGACTTGTGCACTTCAGATCCCAGAAGTCCTCAGCCACAAGTCTTAAAGTTGCCAAGGTTGGAGACTCCTGCGCTATACCATTTCAGACAAATAGTTGCTAACCACCTCAGCTTTGCTGTGTTTGCGTTTTATGATGAAGAAAGAAAGCTGGCGAAGGAGGAAGATTTAGAATGGCTTCTAGAATTATTTCTGGTCTCTTGAAAATAGCTCTGATTGGGAGGGGAAGCAGGATGGGGCTTAGAAGGAAGAGCAAGTGAAATGCTGTGCTGTGGCCTGTTTATAGTACCTCTCTCATATGGCTGCATGGGGAGAATTTTTTCAGGATTTTTTCCTCACAGCCTCTAGCCTAGCCAGATTAAGTCCGTTTTCAACACAACTTTCCCTTTTGTTCTCTCCCCATGCCACATTTTATTCAACTGTAATTGGTTTTCAAAGCATTTTCCTGTTGAAGGACAGATGGGCAGACAGAGAGAAACTTGGATCTCTTCCTATCATTTCTTTCCAACATTCCCTTGGCTGGGAAAGAATAAAGCAAGCTTGGACCGCCATAAATACAGTAGAGAAGGATGGGAGAGGACTTGAAGTGACAGGGGAGTCCCAGGGATAGGTAGGGAGGATGGATTAGGTAATAATTCCTACCAGAACTACGTGCCTTGCCCTGCATCCTGGAGCAGGTACTGCAAACATGTTCTCATGTGTTTTCTTGGGATTAAAAACTGAGCTGATTTTCATTGGCTCGGCTTTCATTGAGTTCTCAAAGTACCACAATATTGTTAGGAACATGCAGGATGGTGCAGCCCTTGTGTGACAACCTTCCCATATGGCCTTATACAAGCAGTTGGACATTCATCAACTCTTGGCGTAAGTTTAGCAAATATTTATTTCACAAGTGGGTTTTCTAAAAAAATTAATAGGCTGTCCTGCAGGTTCTGCTGTGGGTTTTGCAAGAGCTTCAAGTCTTGACAATGTTTGGAGAGAGAGAAAAGCATATCAGTTAAAGCTCTGAGCAAGTTAGATCCTACAGAGAAAAATTATAAAATAGTTATACCAGTTCCATTCCATTTCTACTTTCTACTTTGTTCTACTGTTGCTCTCTTCTTACTCTGTCCCATAAATGTTAAAGGCTCCCATGTATGCGTCTCTTATAAAATCTAGATCTAACGCACAAGAACTAAAACCAAGAGTTGCAAGTGAGATTCTATTCTCCACGGTCACCAATGGACCCAGCAGCCACAAAGGCACAGAATGCCATGTTTAAATGAGAGGTGATGGGGCTGTTGGAGGCGTTTCAGTTTCCATAGTCAAGAAAATGGATAGATCTTAGAGAAAATTCAGAATGCCATCTGCATTATTTCCCTTTTATTTCTACTTTAAGTGGAACTGTTAATTGGTGTTTTTTTCCACCAGCAGCAATATAGATAATATATAATATTTTCCTTTGGATAACATGAGCTTTATTTCTTCTTTACCTTTTAAGTGCAGTCAGTTTTAATGGGAGCATAGAATCTTCTTTTAAAGAAAAAACCATTCAGGACTTTAAAGTTATAAAACAGAAACACCGTACGTCCCTGTCTGGTAAACACTCAGCATTAACAAAAATTGATGGGAGCAAATCACCTTCGGACAGAAAGGAAAGAGCGTCTACAGGTGAGTGTGTCATAGAGATTCATGCAACTCTGTACATTTTCTAGGCAACAAATGCCATTGGAAGTTTTTTTTCTTTCCAGATGAATATATTTACGATTGCAATTTTAAATGACATAGAAATCTATTCAAGGTAATATATTAGCAAGATAATAGTGAATGTTAACCAGTATTAAATGACAAATTTGTAGGTGATATGTGGAAGGCAAGTAATTTAATATACAGGTAATCCTTAATTTAGGACTGCAATTGAGCCTAAAATTTCTCTTGCTAACCAATTCAGTTATTAAATGAGTTTCGCCCCATTTTACGATCTTTTCTGCCACAGTTGGTTAAATAAATCACTGCAGGTATTAAGTTAATAACAATGGTTGTTAAGTGAATCTGGCTTCCCCATTGACTTTTCTTAGAAGGTTGCAAAAGTGATCATGTGACCCTGGCACACTGCAACCGTCATAAATATGAGTCAGTTACCGAGCATCTGAATTTTGATCTCATGGATGTAGGAATGGTCGTAAGTGTGAAAAATGGTCATAAGTTACTTCTTTCAATGCCCTTGTAACTGCTAATGGCCACTAAATGAATAGTTGTAAGTTGAAGACTACCTATGCAGTGTATTGACAAACCAACATTGCTGACTTTACTCAGAGAAACATGGTGGGTAAATCTTCCAAAATATATATTTGGAGTCGGGGTTAGAATCCTTTAGTTTGATTTTCTTTCACTTAAGGATCTGAGCTCTACAGAGCCATAAAATATCTCCACCACTTTTATCTCCACCTCCACTAAATGCATTACATGTGACTCATTCAAAAGTTCGATTCTGTTTACACCATGTGAGATTGATCTCCCAAAGGCATGTGGGCTAGTGTCCTAAGCCACATTTTTAGGAAAAAGATACCAGGTAAGGATATCTCCTTGAGAGTTAGTGGCTGCAGCCCTTCGCAAAACTACTAAATCAAAGCAGGACGTAAACTGGAATGCGTAATACTTCTCAGTTCAGTTTCCTGATGTATTTCAACTTTTTGAAATATTTCTTTATTCTGGAATTGCTTACCGTTCTGTAAATAGTTGAAGTTCTATTGCTTAATCTACTCAAGTGTACTGTTTGGTTGAGAGCACATTTCTGCATCCTTCAGTATGGGTAGCAAATAGCTATCAAGAGTTTCATGAAGTAAATTCTGTGATGCTCTGTTTTTTTAAGCACTGAAAACAATCCAATCTGGCTCAGTCAACTGAAAACAATATTTGACAAGGTTAGATTAAGATAAAATCTGAATTAAGAATGAGCAAATGAAAAATAAGGAAAGCCAATGTATTGTACTCTCACGTGTCCAGAGTTCCTTATAATTGAGCTGTAATACTTAACAATAACTTTACAGTTTTGCAGTATTGTGCCATAGATAATGTATGAATGAACTGCTGCTCAGAATTTATTAAGACACATCAAGGACTTCCTGATTTCATTCTGTATGCACCATTTTTAACGTACCTGCAGGGCTGCATAGATATACGTATGTCCATCATGTTCTTTCCTTTCAAGACATGCAGCATTATGCAGAGCTGAGAAGAGAAGTAAGACATAGTGAGGCAGTGTGTCAAGGAAGATTCTCAGTCATCCAGGTAGTGTGGTCAGGAAATTGAATGATGGCAACTGGACTCAAACCCAAAAGAAAAGTCCAGTTGTCACGATTGAACTTCCAGTTTGTGAGGCAATGAAATTGAAGCTCAATATAATAATCACCTTTCTGTCTTTACAAATCAATTTTATCCAAATTATAAATTAATTTCTATAATTTTCCAGCTTTTCTTCACTCAGAGAAGCGGAGACCATCACAAAAAAGTAATATTTTAAGTGAGAAGAAAGCAAAGCAAGCCGCTCAGAGAACAGCTGATAAAGAAGCAGCTGCCCTGGCAGCCCAGGCAAGGAAGTTTGGAATAGCTGCTTTGCAGCTGGACCTTGTCCCTCTTCTAGCAGGTATTATTCTCTCCAGAGATGGGTGACAGGGAAAATGGGAATACGATGAAGGAATATCAGGGAGGGAGATAAATACTTGCAGGATGATAGGCATAGCATTGTGATCCAAGTCCACCCTCCTGTACATATCAGGGACAAAAAAAGTGCCAGGGCTTGAGTTGCATGGCCTATCCCTGCACCTGGTGCAGATACAGATTAACTGAATTGGAAGGGACGTTGCAGGTCATCTAGTCCAACCCCCCACCCAAGTGGGAGACCCTACACCATTTTTGACAGGTGGCAGTCCAGCCTCTTTTTGAAAGCCTCCAATGATGGATCTCCCGCAACTTCCGAGGGCAAGCTGTTCCATTGGTTGATTGTTTTCATGGTCAGAAAATTGCTCCTTATTTCCAGGTTGAATCTCTCCTTGTTCAGTTTCCATCCATTATTCCTTGTCTGGCCTTCAGGTGCTTTGGAAAATAGCTTGACCCATTCCTCTCTGGCAGCTCCTCAAATGTTGGAACAATGCTATCATGTCTCCCCTGGTCCTTTTCTTCACTACACTAGCCATGCCCAGTTCCTGTAACTCTTCATTGTATGTTTTAGCCTCCAGTCCCCTAATCATCCTGGTTGCTCTTCTCTGCATTCTTTCTAGAATCTCAACATCTTTTTTATAGTGTGTGAATCTGAGTGTTCTGATCTTTGACAGTTTAGTGATTTGGAAGCAGTCTAAATTGAAAATGTGGACAGACCAGTTTACGGTAGAACTTTTCAGCTTTGTCTCCTTTTTAAAATTCCTCAGTAACAAAAGAGTATTATTAGCCTGGTCATTTCCATTTAATTTTTAGGCAATCAGCAAAACCTAGGTGATATGGAAGCGTGTTATCTAAGCTTATCTCATGGTTGTTCCACAACCATTTTAATTGTTTTAATTTTTTGCAGTCTTCCAAGCAAACTGAATTAATTTTTTTTGCAAGAATCCACACTCTGTGTATCCAAGGCTCTTTCAAAATAAACAATTCTATATCTATATTATTCCATATATATGGAATGTAATTTAACAACGCATTTATTTACTTGAATCTTTATTTTCTTGCAAGTGTTCACCATAGTAATATCTAACTCAGTGATGGCTAACCTTTTAGTCGTGTGCCGAAAGTGCGTGCGTACATGTGCACCCATAATGCAATGTGCATGCAACGCTCTCCCTGCACATGCGCGCTCGACCCCCCTCCATGCCCCCCGTGTCTTTAATTATGATTTAATCACCATAAAATATAAATATATCTTTTACATATACATAGCTCCTTGTTACCAATTGGCACATTAGATGAATTCCAGTTGTATTCTTGGACTAGCCATATTGTTATGTAGTTCTTAGAAAATATGTTTTAATATTCATCTTTGATAAGAAGGCCACTAAGAATCATTGTCCCAGCTATGCTGTATATATTACTTGATTGGTCCCAAAGAAAGCTTTTGACTGAAAATCTTTGAATTCAGTAATCTATTGCTTCATATGCTTCCCCGCTTCCTCTTTTATTATTTCCTATATATTGGTGCTTTCTAAGCAACTTGAACTAGCTGCATCAGAATTTGCATCTCTTTATTTTCTGCTTCTTGGCATTTCCTAAGTAGTAAAAGTGAGAGCTGGTGAGGTCCACTTATATTTTCAGCAGCAACAAGAATGTCTTGCTGCATTAGTATCAGCCATTCAATCAGCCCCAGCAGGTGGCTGTACTTGGTGGCTAAACAGGGCTGGCCCCAGTTAATAATTGGTTGGGGGAATTCTTAGGAATGACAGGATAGAGAAGGTCTGGTGGGAAAAACATCCGGGAAGCAAACAGAGACAATACATTTTAGTGTTTTTGCAAAAAAAAATGTACATGGTCTCATCCATAAAGACAGCAAGGATCAGGCTCAACATAACAGATTTTACGTTTTTTAACCTGAACAGTTATAAATAATTCAGATCCTTCTCTTCATCTGCAGGTGAATACTATACAGCCAGTCGATGGGAAGATAATTCCCCCAAACTTAATGAAGCATACTTAGGTTTTGCTATAGACAAACCTATTATGAGTGAGAAACACAAACGTGACTTGAACCCAATGATTATTAAGATTAAGTCTGCAAAATGTTTACCAAATACTCCTGTTCCAGTTGAAGAGTTGCAGGTAATCCTTTATGGTTCTATATAGTGATAATAGAGGGCATTCTGGAGTACAACAATACATTTTAAAGTGTCTTTTATTTCTGGAATATATAAACATCCTGAAATGAAAGGTAGAAAACTTTATTTTTTGTAATGCATGGAGATTCACTTGGCCTCCTTTATTCTCTTGGAGGGGGGGACCTTGACTATGGCTTTTGTAATATAGGGACCACTGTTGAAGGCCATTTTTCATTTGATTGTTTTTCAGTCTGATTTAAAGAGCTTTGAATGAAGCATCCTTAACTTTTTTTAAATCAAACCAGCAAATGATTATTTCATCCTCCTCTCCTCTCTGTCCTGGCTCTCGTTCTTCAGATCATTTATGAATCTTCATGAACCTTCAATTCTTCCTTCTATATTTTTTCACTAAAAGCTATTTCAATTCTTTCTAATACTGCCATTATTATTGTTTTGTTTCCACTCTATATCCTACTCTGTACTTGACCTAGGGTGTGGAGAGGACTTCTCATTCCCCAATCTTCTCATATCCTGTATGTATAATTCATGCTGCAGTGTGAGGGGTCCTTAATGCTCTCTGAGCTTAGTAGTTTTATTGACATTTGTTTCATTGCCCAAACTAGGTAACTTCATCACTGCTAATGATGTTTTTTTTATAAACTAAACTTCAGGATTAGCAATGATCTGGTTACCTAGTTTGGGTAATGAAACATCTTCTAGAAAACAAGCTCAGGGAGTACCAAGGACCCCTCATTTCAACCATGAACTACAAATACTCTCCTTTATTGGTACTACTCCGGTGTGTTCACACTCATTCCTAAGTTATGGATCTACTGTATATCTTACAGAGATTCATAGTCATCTAGGTCATGGTTGTGCCAAAGGTGCTTTTTCAGGAGGAAACTGGACTTTCTTGTTTTTCCTTTGAAGATGTTTTACTTCTCATCCAAGAAGCTTCTTCAGCTCTGACTGGATGGTGGGGAATGGAAGGATTTATACTCCTTGCAGACAGCTGGTCATTTGCATCCTCTTAGAGAGTCATTGAGGCACTTGGAGAAACATGATGGCTCTTGCAACTGGCTGACACCAATCATCCATTATATTGGGGGATGTCCTGAATTTTAAATGCTGTAGAATTTCCTTCTGTTTGCCCTTCACAATTTAGATCTAGATTCTAGAGTGAATAGAATTCTGTTTTTGCATTGTAGTTCTGATAATTCTCAGTCTTTTGTTCCAATTGTTTTTTAAAGAGCCTTGTTGCTGATGGGATAACAATTTCTCTCCCATTTACTTGCTTAATAGTCTGTTGCTTGTGCTGTCTTCCAAACTATTTATAACCATTCATCTCTAATTATTCCCTCCACTAAAACAGATAAGTCCCTGAAGTTAAGAACAAAATATTCTCTTAAATCATTGCTCCCTTAGTTCATTATGAATTTATTCTTCTACTTCCCGACATTAATGATGTCAGGATCCTTTCATTCCATTTAAGAATAGCTAGCATCACACCTGAATCAGATGAAAAAGAAAACAAAAGTATATTGTTAGCATACTAGTGACATCCCATTTCAGTCCCCAGTCTGATCTGGGTTTCATAAATAAATACTATTAGTGTGTTAGACAAGACAGAAACTTGTGACTTAAGCGCTTACCTTAATATTCTATCACCATGTGTCATGCCTAGGTCTCAGATAAGAGTCCAGAGAAGCTACTCTGGTTGAACCAGTTGAATGCCAACATCAGGAGACATTGAGCCAGGAATCTCTTGAGGCTGATCAAACAAAGGCACAATCAGAATAGCTATGTTTATGTACAGCTTCTAAGCACTTGAAGGACTTGCAGAGGAAATCATAGCAAAGATGTTCAGTCAGGCTCCTTGCCAATCAAGGCCATATATGCTTTAAACACAGCTGGCTTCAGCCTTATTTAAGAGGCAGCTTTGACTTATGTTTCCTTGTTGGAAACAGTGGTCTGATTTCCTGTATTTGGCCATGCCTTCTGTTCTGTAAGAAACCTAAAACTTCCATCCTTGGACAGGCTGATCTTGCTTGGCTCTCTCAGTTTTGAATTTTTGACTATTCTTCTGCATATTTCTGTGGAAAGTGAAACTACCTTATCTTCAGAGACTCATTTATGTACCTTTGATTATCTGTTCATATTCAAGTAAATTGCTTATGCTTTACCTAGCAACTGTGTATGTGTGTTTGAAACCTGAAGCAGGAGATTACTTTCAGAAATGGATGTAGTTGTGATATTAGTTTAGGGAAACCTTGCTTAGGTGTGTGTACTTGGACTGTTCTTCCTCCAGCCTTCCCTTTTAGACCATAAGTGTTTTTTTTCTACTTTAGTTTCTTTGATGTTTTCTTTTTGATTGTCTTTTTGATTTTAGTTATTACTTTGAAGTTATTTTATTAGGTGTTTGGAATACATTTGTATACTTAATACATTTAGAATCAAGAAGTCATATTTATACTGAACATTTATACTGTTATTGTCTTTTATAGAGAACTTGCCTTCCTGTTTACTGCAAATACACTTTCTACAAAATGTGTCCTCATTATACACAAGGCCGAAATCATGGAACTGATGTCTTCTTTAAAGATATCAATGTGATTCTCGTAGGAGCATTAGACCCTGGAGAATTCAATGAATACCTAAGAGGCCCACCTTTAGAAATTGAAGTTCACGACAGAGATAAGAAAATGGAAGATCTCAAGATGACACCATCTTTGTTTGGAGAGGAACCAGAAGACAGCAAGCTAAGTGACATAAGCACTGTCACTTCGAGATACATGGTCCAGAATACCATTACAGCCAAAGAAAATATTCACAGTCCATATGGAATAGCGAAAATCAACTTGAACGATTTACTGCTAGGTGAAAAAACCTTGAATTTCTGTGCACCAATTCACAGCTGCTCAATTCAAGATACATCTCTATCCTATGGGCAAAATACCAGTCCAGGGGCTAAAAAAACAGATGACTCTCAAGTTGTTCAACTTTCAATTGGGCATTACATAAATGCAGAATCATATCTTAAAGTGAGAGTTGAAATAAGTGTACCATTGGGTCCTCCAGAGGAAGAAGATGCTGCTGCTGCATATTGTCCATATGGCTGTATCATTTATCTTTTTGATTATAATAATACATCATTATTATATTATTTGATGCAACAGATTACAGAAATTAATTCAGAGGCTTTCCTACTTGATTCCTATCCCATAGATACAACTCAAAAATCTCTTCACACTTTGAAATTGAATCAGAAACTTTCCTTAGAAGAGATTTCTCGGCTAAATATTATTACTGGGTTTCACATAATCGATGGGTCCATTCACCTTCTTATCCTGGAAGGTTTCAGAAATAAAGCAATTAAGAGGATGTGGAATAAAAAAATTGATAGGTAATCAATACCATTTTACTATTAAAACCAGTTTTTTCTGTAGTTATCTTTCTGAAGGCAGTTTACAAGATTTCACATCCTAACATAGTAACAGTGATAAAATTCAGAAGTGATGCCAAGAGCCTCTGATTCTTCAAATGCTCACCCTGTGAACATTTCATAGGTGACCAATCCATAGATTTGTACTAGATTGTGGCTCGAATGTATCCTGATCTTTTCAAAAAATAATTGTGCATACTGAACCAGTATGTTGGAATGAAATCTGTGCCTGAACATGAAAAAAGAAAGAAAGAATGGTGCTGTAGAAATTGATAGCTTTCTATATTTTGTCTGCTCATATGGGTACAAGAGACAGGAATTTTGAACAAATGCAGGAGGAATTGATGATTGAGGATACTGTTACCTTTATATTTACTCTGACATTTGAAATTCTATCTATCACCATCTCTTGTCTTTCAATCATGCATCTAATTCTTGAGTTATTTGTATATTTTGAATAGCAGTGTTTAGTAGTGGTTATTTCTCCATTTTGTATGATAGGAATCCAAATCATGTTTTCTTAAGAATGGGGGGAATTCATAAATCTCAATGAATCTTAGGGACAAACTCAATAAGATTTTATTGTACAGAGTTTGCAATTGTATCCATTGCTCCTTGAAAGCAAATGTATAAGCATCAAGGGACCGGATGTATTTCAGAATTCAGATATGGGTTGGAGGGTGGGTGGATAGGGAGCCCATAGTTCTTTCCCTCCCTCCCCATAGCTTCAGTCTAAATTGACACCCTTCAGGGAGTTGGGATCATCTGCCAGAATACTCAGCTGTTTGGGAGGAACAAGAGTCCTATAAAGCTGTAGTACCATCTATTATACCTTGGATGAAAACTTTCATGTTGCAGTTACTATACTTCTATTAATTAGGGAAATACTTTATTTTACCATTAGACATCTATATATTTCAACTATTCTTTTGACACTGAGTTTGTACATTTACAGCACACAGCATTTCTCTGCTAATTCTCAAAAGCAAAAGCCTCAAAGCATGTGGATGTTAGTTTAACTTGCTTACTTGTAACTTGGTGAGGAATGATGGCTCAGTGATTAAAGACACTGAGGTTGTCAGTTGGAAAGCTGATAGCCCAAGTTTGAGACGTGAATGTCGTACAATGAGGTGAGCTGCCTCAGCTCCTGCTAACCTAGCATTTCAAAAGTCTGCAAAAGTGAGTAGATAAATGGGTATTCTGTGCACTTGGGTGTATAGTCATGTTGGCCATATGACCAAAGAAGTGTCTTTGGACAATGTTGGCTCCCATGGCTAAGAAACAGAGTTGAGTACCGTCCCCTAGAGTCAGACCCAAGGAACGGGAGAAATCTATTTCTTTACCTTTACTTGCACAAGCAGTTTGATCCCAGCTACCCAGAACGGGCAGAAAATGGGTTGCACAGAGGCTGAAAACGGGTCACACAGACGCCCAAAACTGGATATGGAGGCCGAAAATGGCGCATATGGAGGCGGCAATAGGCTATGGCAATCCCTGCAGCCTGAAACAGCTGATCGTCGGGAGGCTGATCCAACTGACAATCAGCCGCTTAGGCTAATCAGGCTGTGCTGAAGCTGAAACAGGCTCTTTGCTGTTTGCTGCAAGGAGGAAAATTGCTGGGAGGCAGAGGCAATCCCCCCCCCCCCTGTTTTCCTCCCCAAAAGCTAGGTGCATCTTATACTTGGAGCGTCTTATACTCCGAAAAATACAGGAATCATAGTTCAGTTGCATAGTCCGGAGAAGGATAAATGTATCTTTAGTATGCATCACCGTCAAAGGCAAAGGCAAACAGACCAGCTTTTGCTGCACTGATACATTAGAATTTGACAGTACAAGACGGAATTAAGCCACAAGGGAAAAGGCTAGCTTTCTTCTACTTTGAGTAAGATGTTATTGTGCAGGGCCAGGAAATATTGTGATGATCCTCAGTGCTGAAATATTTATTTAACTGGGATATTGTCAGCTCTTTAAGGTTGCCCAAACTAGTAAACTAAAGTCATGCATACTAGTACAATACTACTTTTATAAAAGGTTACAGTAAAAGGACCCGGTAAGTCTGAATGTAGGTTCCCACTCCCTCCCTTTATCTTCATGGGGAAACTAGGGAAGATAAAGTCTTAAGAGGCTTTCTCAAAAATTACATTTATGCACTCAAGTTTCCTTTGTCTGACTTTTGTTTTGATTGCAGCTCTTCGTCCTCTCCCTCCAGGTTATTCCTATGCCTATTACTATTTTAAAAACCAACAGAATGTTTCACAACATGTATGTAGCTTAACAGGACGCAATATTTAGCACTGACTATACTTGAATGTATTAAAGTGACCGGAGCCGTCCTGTTTTCATTCACATCAAAGGGAATGTTTTTTTAAGCCCAGAGCTTCATATTATACCTGATTTTTGATGCACACCTTTTGTTTTATACATACATCCATACACACATACATACAGTTGTAGTATATCAGAATTAATCAGCCTTATCGGAAGTGCAACGATAGGAGTAGAGCCTATTTGCTATATTTGTAGAGTTAAAATGCATTTCATTCCAACATAACATTAGTGCAGTTACGAGGAAGAAAGCTGTGTTGAGGGCTTTATTTATAGTCTCGCCTTGATTTCTGCAGCATGCTAAATATGCTGAGTTTGGCAGTAGCTAGATGTTAATTATTGCAGCAATCCTTTGCAAGCAAAGATCCAGGTTTGCATGTGAATGGCATGCCTGAAGCAGCTGGAAGGGTTCCTAATTCTAAGTTGGCTTCAGTTTCCCCAGCTCAACATCCGGTAATTTTTATTATATAGATTCACCTCAAATGAAGAGAAATGTACATTTCAGATGAGTAAACCATCGTTGGTGCAGTTTTTACTTAGTTATGTTCTTTAAAAATACTGTGATTTATTCTGCTGGAATTTGTTTTTTCAGGAATGCCATTTGTGTCTTGTTGCTTTATACACAAGATTAGTTTTAGTGGAAACATTGTAGAAAACTGATATACAGTACAGAGATTTATTACTTATTTTACAGGATTTGTACCTCTGTTTTAAAAGTCAAATTCAACAGAAGAAATGAGGGATTTATAAGTTAATATAGTCCAATTTCCTATCTTACAGGTTGCATGAAACGGAACATGGGAGATTACAGATATTCTATAATTCACACTTGTCTTTTCACAAGCGGCTGTATATAGATCTTGAAGCTATCCTGCTTCATATCCGACTCTGCAAGCCACTTTCAAGCCTCATGAAGCAGCCTTTGATATATATCAGGGACATGGTTCCTCAGCCGTGCTTTGAAGCTCTTTCCAGGTTAGATTTTGGCATACGAGTTATGGGGATTTGGAAGTTCAGTATGGTAAGGATTTATCTTGTGGCTGGTGTGGGAGTCTAGCTGGGCTCGTATTTTATGGCCTCCATGGCAGCCGTGGGTCTGTCCCAAGTAGTCTCAGCCTGATCCAGGTGAATGTAAGTGGGTCTTGTTTTGTCTCTGAATGATCATTCATTACTTTGAACACATGATCTGATCCTTCCCTGGTCCAGATGAGATTTGTTGCTACCTGGAACTTTCTATAGGAGACCTGATTAGGACACCAATACTCACCTGGAAAGAGTGGAGCACGAGTTCTGCAAGGGGTTTGACACGTTGAAAAGAAAATGGTGGACAATATATTTAATATAAATATTTAATATCAACTTTCCATAACGCAACTGGTGAAGTTCTAAGCTTACCTGCAAAGACATCAGATTGAGGAAGGATAGTAGTTAATAGACATAGTAGTTAATCTATTATATATCCAGGGGTGGGATTCTACCAGTTCGCACCTATTCGCTGGAACCAGTTGTTAACTTTCTAAGCAGTTTTGAGAACCAGTTGTTAGAAATTATTGGCCTAATCATGGAAGGATGGCAGGAAGGAAACATTCTGGTGTTGCTTACAGAACTGCCTCTCCCTTTACCCTTATTACATTCTTGGCAGGACTAGACTTCCTGTCTCAGGAACTTCTCTGGAGTTTTTTTCCCTTCCTTTGCTGGTACTTTGCTTGTGTGGAGTGACCATTCAAAGTTACAATGGCACAGAAAAAAGTGACTTATGACCATTTTTCACACTCACGACTTGCAGCATCCCCACAGTTATGAGAGGCCAGGTGAGGAGATGCGTGCCTCAATGTGAGTGATGTTGAGTTGGCCACGCCCAGCCAATAACATGACCACCAAGCCACGCCCACCAACTTAGCCACGCCCACAGAACTGGTTGTTAAAAAATTTGAATCCCATCCCTGCATATATCCATTGTCAGTTTGTTTGGTTTCACTGTTCTGATTGTTTGTCCAAAGTAAACTTGCTATGTGATTTATTTATTAAAAAGAATGCAATCTGGATTTTAATAGTACTGCTAAGGCAAAAAATTTAAAACAGTAGTAAAGTTAAAATCAAATTAATAGCTCCCTTATTTAAATTACAACACTGATCTTCAGTTGTTCGTTTTCTTTCTTCACACTGTAGACTTGATTTCATCTGCCACAGTAAGAAGTTAAGGGAAGTGGTCCATTACAATCTCTTGCCTTCATCAGAAATGATTACAACGTTGAGTCAGGAATTTGGAGTTCCCTTGACTAAAGCTGACATGTATGTAAGGGAGCCCCCAGAGGTCTTGGAAACAAACAATAAAATGGAAAAGCATTCAAGCATGAGACAGTATGGGTATTCTCATTTGGATAACTACAATAAGAAGTATGTACTGAGAAAAAAGGAACAAGAAAGTCAGGCACCACATAACTATATCCAGGTGGGTGAAGTGCAACAGTGAAAATTGCCTTGCAGAAAGAATTGGCAACTTGTACAGATTTTATTAAGGTGAATTTTTGGTGATGCTGAGTAGGGATGATCACCAAATGCCAGCTTCTGTTATGCAGATTCCTTGTTGTTTTAATACGTACAGCTGTACATACAGGTAGTTCTCAACTTAAAATCATTTCTTTAATGACCTTTAATGATGTTTGAGTGATGCTGAAAAGAAGGGACTTACAATCGGTCTTCACTCAGCTGTTGCAGTGTGCCCGTGGTCATGTGATTAAAATTCAGATACTTGGCAACTGGCATGTATTTATGATGATTACAGCATCCTGGTGAACACTATTTTTGACCTTCCACGGGAATATCTGACAAGCTAAATCAGTGGGGAAGACAGATTCCCTTAATGTGCTTAGAAAAAAAAAATTGTAAAATTGGGAATCACTCACCCAGGAATTGCATCTCTTAATGACAGCAGTTCCAGGCTCAGTTGTGACTGTAAGTTGAGTGCTACTACTTTTAGCACTGCTTCTAGGCTGTAAGTCTAGACTGCTTCCTTAAGCGTGCAGATTAGAGCCCATGAAACAGTAATGTATCCATTACACAGAACTTAGATAAATCTGTATTCAATCTTAATGGATTTTGGAATAATTTAGTGAATTATTTCTGTATTCAGTGATTCTCTTCTTGTGAGCTAAAACTAGTGCAGGCATCAACCACATCATCCTATTTGGTCAGACATTCAGAGGGTTATTGTCATGCCCCTGTCGGAATCTGATTCACAGGGGGAAGCTGAGCAGCTGACAGGGAGTGGGAGTGTGGCTTATTTGGCTGTGGAAGAAACTGGGGAAGGGCAAAGGCCAGCTGGGCAGAGCAGGGGTGAGGTAGAGCAGGGGAGAGGGAATTCAGAGGAAGACCCAGGCCCACCCCCTCTTCATCCTAGGGCATGCAGGGAGGAATGGAGAAGGGAGCAACGTGAGTTGCGTGACTTATGGGGGAGGAAAGGGCCCTGATTCCCTTCATCAGCTGCAGCTGGGAACACCGTGTTTAAAAAGGGAAGTGCACATAGCAAAGTTGTTGGGAGCAAATCGTGAATTATCTGGTATCGTCAAGGCTTGTCTGGGTTCCTGGCGTCTTCCCAACTGTGTGTGTTTTGCTGGGCTTTCAAGTCTGCAATTCCTTTTCCTGCCCTGTCAAGTTAATTACTGCAGCATGGTTTGTGTGGATTTTTATTTGCAGTTTGTATGTACTTTGTTTTCGGACTGTATTTCCTCCACTTAAAGACTGTTCTTGGGACAGTTTTTTCTCCAGCCGAAGGTAACCTGGACATTGGGGGCAAAGTTGGAGGTACTAAAGGGAAAATTCTTACTTATTTGACTGTGTTGCCTTTGTGCCCCGCCCCAGGGTCATCACAGTTATTTTTCTACAGGCAGTCCTTGATGTGCAACTATTCATTTAGTGGCCATTCAAAGTTATAACAGCACTGAAATGTGAGTTATGACCATTTTTCATAAGTGTGAATGATCACAGGATCAACATTCGAATGCTTGGCAACCCACTCATATTTATGACCGTTGCATAGTCCTGGGGTCATGTGATCATCTTTTTTGACCTGACAAGCAAAGTCAATGAGAAAGATAGATTCACCTTAACAGATTCACTTAAAGTCTTACTAACTTAAGAACTGTAGTGGTTTACTTAACAACTGTGGCAAGAAAGGTCATAAAATGGGGCAAGAAATTTCACTTAGTAACATAAATTTGTGGTTGTAAGTCGAAGACTACCTGTAATTGAAGGGTAAACTACTGATATTTTTGTTTGTTATGGAAGCAATTGCATCCTGAAAATAGTATTTTCTCAGAAAACAAGTCTGAGGTTTTGTGTTTAGCCTAATTATGTTAGGCCTGATGATTCATAAGATGCCAGCTTAAAAGAGAGAAGCACTTTCCATCGCTTAGGCACGCATAGTTGTCTTATAAGGCAGCGGCCCCCAACCTTTCCACCTTGGCGGCTTAGCCTGGTGTGAAGAGGGATGTGTGAAAGGCAAGTGCCTTTGCACATGACCCCTGCTTGCCCATCACTTGCGTGGCCAGGTTTCAAATAGGCTGCGTCCCAGTAGTGGGCTGCGTCCGAGGGGTTGGGGACCCCTGTTATAAAGTACTATCCAACTATTGCAAATGTTTGAAGAATTGCTTTTAGGACCGTTTGTGATTTTTATTTTAACTTAGCCATTTACTTCTAACATGATATCACAACTAACGTCATTACAACTGAATTGCTATCTTAACTAAAAGTGATTGGCTGCTAGCAGCTAACAAGACATCGTTCATTCACAAATAGAATTGGGCTTCTACTTTTCAGTTACCTGCCTTTAATGTTGCCTTTAAGATAGCATCTTAGGAAGTCCTCTTTCAGAAAGTTGGCTTAATTTTAATTTACTATTTTAAAGCTTAATTGAAATGTGCTCTGTATTTGCCAGCCTAATTATTGACATTTTCCAGAGTAGTTAATATATTTTGGGTGGGAGACGTAGGATAGGGAAAGGAATGCATTCAAAGCTAGTATAATTTTACATGTTTATATATCTTTCAGACTAATATTGAATATGTGAACTTCCTCAATGAAATACTTGAAAGAGAAATCCCGAGAACTATCAGAGCTTTCCCTTTTGGTGAAAATGCTATCTTTAACTATAGTTCTCAGACTTTAAATTCAGCTGAAATTGCAAAGAAGCTACTTCAACAAGAAATGGCGAAGGCAAGGAAACAAGATTTGTCTTTTATTCACTTATTTTATGTTTTTTCCCAAGAAATCTACATGGAAAAGTCGAAATGTCTGGGCATGTTTTTCCAGGATGGATGAAATTCCAAATTGGAGAGCAGAGCAGTGGATAGTGATGTGCCTCTAGTGGTCCTTAAAATTTGGGCTGCCTCAGTGAGGAGAGAGGAGAGAAAAGTGACTTTAAAAAATTGTAAAGAATAGTAGTTTTCTGGGGATGAGATAAAAATAGATCACTCATATTCATCCATTACCTGCCTCATGTTTGAAAGTGAAAGTGTTAAGCTTTGTTAACAGTTTTTGAATTTACTTCAGTGAATACAGAGTCAGACAAAGGCACCCAAACATGATAGTGTCCAGATATGTTGGAACCAGTACTATACTCTAGACATTTGGACTTTGTTGGTTGAGAAGCAATGAGGATTTTAGTATGAATGACAGCAAGTTGGAGAAGGGTGTTCTCTGCATTGGTCTATGATGAATTCCATTGGAGTTTGGTGGGGCGAAATATGTATGTGTGCATATATAACTATAATTACATATTTTCTTAAGTTTTCGCCGGTACTTATATGTATGGTATTCAGCTTTGTTTGGGTATTTTCCCACGTCATTATAGTTGTGCTTTTAAAGATGTAGCAACGTTTCGGCAGAATCTCATCTGCCATCATCAGGCTTCTGTATTGTGTTCGTCTGTGAGTCAGACTTTCACAGCCGTTTCAGTTTTAAATTTGGGGCTAGCCTACTGCTGTGCCAGAATGAAAGTCTGACTCACAGACGAACACAATACAGAAGCCTGATGATGGCAGATGAGATTCTGCCGAAACGTTGCTACATCTTTAAAAGCACAACTATAATGACGTGGGAAAATACCCAAACAAAGCTGAATACCATAGATAATTATATATATGTATATGCTTTTTTTAGATGCCAGGAAAAAGATTTGCTTACAATGAATATCTGTCAGGTATGTTTGACCCAGTGGATGAAGACAGCATATTAAAAGAGCGTATTCAACAATCAAAGAAATTGTGGTTGTATCCTGGAGGGTTTTCATATCCTGGATTTAAGAGCACCGCAGACTGCAACAAACATCCCCGTAGGCCTGATGAGGCACGAGTGATTGAACTAAGAGAGGTAATTATAAATTTTAGATTCCTATCAACTTGTCATATTTATGTTCTACTAGGAAAGGGCGTTGGTACTTACCTGACACGCCCGTTCTCTTTGAGCTGTGAAGAGTATCCAGTAGTGGGAGATGCTTCAGTCTCTGCATGTCTAGGCTGGGCTTAATTTGTGGAACGCTCTTCCTCCTCCACGGGACTCCACCCCAGCGTTCCCCAGTTTTGGTGAAGACGAGAGAAATAAACACCCTCGTCCTCAATGCCCTAACAATTCTTTGGCCGAAACAGGACCCCACCAGACGGAAAAAGGGTGGGGCTGGATGCTCTTCACAGCTCAAAGAGAACAGGCATGTCAGGTAAGTACCAACGCCCTTTCTCCCATGAGCTGTTCAGAGCATCCAGTAGTGGGACATACCAAAGCTTGGCCTGTTCTATGGGAGGGACTCCGTCTGGCCTGGAATCTCCTCCTGGTCCCCATGGACCCGTTGCAGAACTCTTCTGCCAAATGAGGCCTCAGCGGATGCAAACACATCTATTTTATAATGCCTAATGAATGGCGATGGAGAGGCCCAGGATGCGGCTCGACAAATTTCAGTTATTGGTGCCTGTGTGGCCCACGCTGCTGGTGTTGCGGCGCTCCTTGTTGAATGAGCGGTTATGCCCCTGGGCACCTGCAAGGATTGAGTCTGATACGTTTTCGCTATCGCGGCCCGTAGCCAATGGCCTATTGTAGAAGGTGAGACCTTGCATCCCTGAGTGTTGGGCTGAAACGACACAAATAAGGCTTCCGTTTTTCTGAAAGCCGCTGTGCAGTTGATATATATTGGCAATGCTTGCCTCACATCAAGCCTATGCCATTGTAGTTCCAACCCTTGGGATGGTCTGGGACAAAAATTAGGAAGTATCAGCTCTTGTGCCCTATGAAAAACCGAGTTAATTTTGGGTATAAACGTAGGATCAGGACAAAGGACCACCAGGTCAGAATGGAAAACACAAAGATCTTGTCTGATAGACAAAGCTGCAATCTCCGAAATACGACGAGCAGAAGTGATCACTACAAGGAAAACTACTTTATACGTCAGAAATTGGAGACTTGACGATTTCAAGAGTTCGAAAGGGCCCTTAGTGAGTGCGACGAGGACCTTGTTAAGGTCCCAGGTGGGATAACGGTGTACCACTGGAGGGCATAAATTTGTGGCTCCTCGAAGGAAACTCCATATGCGTGGATGATGGGAAAAAGATAGTAGACCTTCACAAGTGAGAACTGACGCCAAGGCCGCCACCTGTCTTTTCAACGTATTAGGTGATAATCCCTTGTCAAGTCCCTCTTGCAAGAACTCTAGGATTTGAGCCACAGATTGAGAGATGGGATCAATTCGAGACTCAGTACACCATTTGCAGAAACTGGACCATGTGGCATTGTAAATGCGAGTTGTTGAGGGGCATCTGGCGGCTTGGATAGTGGCAATAACTCTGTTGGAAAACTTTTCGTTCTTCAGACAACTCCGCTCAATCTCCAGACAGTCAGGTGCAACCATTGAGGGTCTGGATGTTGAAGGGGTCCCTGGGTTAGCGAGACCCTGGCTGGCGGAATTCTCCATGGTGCTGATACAGATAGACTGTGGAGGTCTGCAAACCAAGGCCGTCTGGGCCGGTAAGGAGCTACTAGAAGTAGTTCCGCCTTCTCGTCTAGCAGTTTCTGGATGACATTGGGAACCAGTGGAAGTGGCGGGAATGCATACGGAAGTCCTGGGGGCCAACGACAGTGGAGTGAATTGAAGTTCTCCACTCCTCTCGGGAGCTGAGTGTTGAGGGAGGAAGCAAACAGGTCCACCACCGGCTTTCCAAATGTCCTGACCACCTCTTGAAACAGAGTTGGATGGAGGCGCCACTCCGATTGATCGATCGTGGCCCTGCTCAGCCAATCTGCCTGTGTATTCGACAGATCCAAAATGTGCTTTGTTCTGATGGAAAGTAGGTTGCTCTCCGCTTAATGACACAAGCGCTCCACTTCTCGCATGAGATGTTTTGACTGTGTGCCCCCCTGTTTGTTTATGCGAGCTTTGGCTGTTACGTTGTTGGTCAATATTAGTATGTGCTGATTGCGTACCAGTGGAAGGAAGCTGCGGAGAGCCAGGTGTACTGCTCGAAGCTCCAGCCAGTTTATATTGCATGACTGTTCTATAACGGAACAGCGGCCTTGGGTTGTGAGCGATTGAATGTGCGCTCCCCATCCAAACAGGCTGGCATCAGTGGTGATGGTAAGTCTGTGTGGCTCTTTGAAGAGGCAGCCTCTGTTGATGATTGGTCTGGTCCACCAGAGGAGAGAGATGAGGACCTTTGATGGTACCTTGACCTTGTATTTGGAGTTGCTTTGGCCGGAGCGCTGGTATGGGAGCAGGAACCACTGGAGGGATCTAGTATGGAGCCGGGCCCAAGGGATGATAGAGATACATGAGATCATCTTGCCTAACAAGTTCCGCTAGGGACACCCTCTTAAGACCCCTGATCTCCTTGACTAATTGCTGAATGCTATTTAGTCTATCTGGTGACAGGTAAACTTTGCCTTCCACCATATCTATGACTGCCCCCAGATGGGTTAACCGAGTCGATGGTGTTAAATGACTCTTTTTCTAATTTATTGAGAACCCGTGTTGTTGTAGGGATTGTAATGTGTTCTGAGTATCTTTGACTGCTTTATGAGCGGAAGATGACAAAATCAAGATGTCATCAAGATAACACTGGAGTCATATGGGGATATCACAGAGATGAGCAGCTAGTGCTGCGAGAACCTTCGTGAAGGTCCTGGGGGCAGAAGCTAGTCCGAAAGGAAGGGCCACATATTCAAAATGGTGGTTATTATAACAGAATATCAGAAATTTATAGTGGGAAGGCTGAATAGCAATATGTAGGTACGCCTCCATCAGGTCTATGGACGTGAGGACGTCATCCTTTCTGATGCCAAGTAAGATAGATTACAGGGTGTGCATTTTAAACTTGTGATATACTAAGAAACGGTTGAGATGTTTCAGATCCAATATTGCTCTCCACTCCCCCGAACTTTTGGGAACAACAGAAAGATGTGAATAGAAACCTTGCCCTCGTTGGTTGGTGGTTACTGGCTGGATGGCTCGTATGTCCAGTAGGTGTTGGATAGCTGTTTCCATGAGATTACGTTTAACCGGGTCTCTGGAGAAAAGGCATGACATGAAAAAATCTGGGGGAGTGGATTGAAACTCCAGCACAAGGCCAAATCTAATCGTGTCTCTGACCCAGGAATCAGAGGTTGAGGAGTCCCATTGGTCCGCGAATAATTTAAGGCGTCTGCCAATGGGGGTCAGGTCCAGGGATCTTGGATGCTGAAAGGACCTGTTTCCTGCTCCCCGAAAGGATCTCTTGCATTGACCACCCCTTCTGCTCCTATCGCCAAAGTCGGACCTGTCTGGCTGCTGCCCTGGTCTGAATGAGGGAGGTCTCTGGTATCTGGGTGAACAGGATCCCTGATAAAAGGGCCGTAAGGATCCCCTCCGAAAGGACTGAGGGTTTCTAGAATCTGACTTCAGAAAAAGGGAAGGAAGAATTTTCTTTTTGTTTCGGGTTTCAATTAGTAACGGATCAAGGGAAGGGCCAAACAGTCTGTCTCCCACAATTGGGGATGAAGCCAGCTTGAAATCCGCTTGCCAATGTTTTAACCATAGTAAGTGTCGCACTGTGACATGTGAAGTAATGGCCCTGGCTGAAAACTTAACTGCACGATAAGTTGCGTCAGCTGAGAATTCAGCAGCTGCTATAAGTTTAGCAATATCTTGGTGCACTCTAAGGTTGGAATTAGGGACATGTTCCCGTAAGAGGCGGAGCCATCTGAGAGAAGAACGGGTGAAGAAGGAGGCAGCTGTGGCTGCTCTGATGGCCCACGTGTCAGACTGATGGGCTCTGGTAGGGCTAGCTCAGCCTGTTTTTTCTTCGGCTTTAATGTCTCCACCACATCACTGGGAATGGAGGAGGACGCTAATCCCATTATAGGTTCATCTACCTCGGGAGTATTCAATAATTTTGAGAAATCGGGCCAAATTGAAATATTTCCTGTCATATCCAGTGGGGGCTGGGTACACCACTGCAGAGGCCCACTGTTTCTGTACCAGGTCCAAAAACATGGGAGGAACTGGGATCACCTCTACTTCGACTACTGGTTGGTTGAAAATTAGATCTTCTGGTCCCTCTTTTCGAAGGAGTTGGAGTGATAGAAGGGGTCGACTTGTTTAGGTGTGCAATATTTTTTGCCTTAAACAAGAGAGATCTGAAAAGTTGTGGGCGGAATAAGCCTGTAAAAACAGGTTGTTCTGGAATAAAGCCCTCATCCTCAGACTTTCCCTTTTCTAAGGGGTCTGCTTCTGACAGGAGCTCGCTGTCATGTATTGATCCTGATTCAATCTCTTCCATTTGATCAATTTGATCCACTTCTTCCTCCTCCTCCTCCTCAATTGACCCTTGGAGGGGCACTTCCTCTTGTAAATGTACCTGGGTATAGTGCTTCTCCGACCTGGTCAACGACCTCAGCGATTGGGAATCATAATCAGCGATCACAGGATGTTCCCTGGTCATAACTGCATGTTAAAAATCTGCTGTGATTCCCTGGTGGATTGCCAGTTCCATCCAGGCCTTCATCCTCTCTGGAACTTCCTCTGGAAGAATGTCGTCCTGATGAAGACCGGCAGCCGTTGGAGTGAATGTAGCTTCGGGAGCCTTTCGCATGGTTGATGTCCCAGGTACTTGGGCCTGTTGGCCTTGGGGAGCCAAGCTGTGCCTGGATGAGAGGGAGAGATCTAGGGGAGGAGGAGGGTGGGAAGAGGTAGACAGACCTGGACTGGAAGAGGGAAAGTCCTGTGAGAGCTTGTGCGCCTCCCGTGTGCACTTACCTATCTGTTTTTGTAAAGCTTTATGGCGCCTGATGGCATCCCTTTCTGAAGTTTTAGAATTCCCTTTAGCCTGCTTAGGTTTGTGCTGAGATTTGGCTTTGACCTTCAAGGATGAGGTCTTGAGAGCTGCTACCGTTTGCCATTTTGATTGAAGTTGGAATTGCAGTATGCTTATTATACGATGCAATACTGTGAAGGCGGTTGGCACGCCCAGGGGCCTGATCTGAGGACAGACTGGTTGCCCTGATGATGTTTTTATTGCCCCCTTTTCTCTCTTTTTTTTTTTGAATAATATCTATCTATAATGAGTTGTATCTCAGTAATAATATTTTATTGATATTAAAATATTATACCAAAGAAAAAATTATTATTATTATCATTGTTGTTGTTGTATTATATAACCACTAATATATATATATGGCAATATGTATATGAATATTAATTAAGTGGCATGATGTTAAATGCTGAGAAACCAAACAGCCAAATTGAGAATGCCTTAAAGGCCCAGGTTGATAAGGGTAGAAGCCTTCAACAGCTTCCCTCCACAGGCAGACACAGGCCTAGGTGCTTGCTGTTGTGCCACTGGGTTGATTGGGCTGCGAGGGTTAAGCCAACAGTTTAACTGTATGGATAGCCTTGAATGTAGAAAAAAACCAAGACGAGGGTATAATGGTCCCCAGTGTTCCTGAAGGGAACCTCTGCTCGGGACAGTTACCTCACACAGCACGAAATGGAATACAGGCATGCGGCCACGAGGTCTTGTAAGAAAAAATGGCCTCTGGCCATTAATCTTTTGGCGCGCTCCCCAGCAGCAAACTCCAGCCGTGTGAAGGAATAGCCTCCGATGGCTTTTCCTGTAAGGCTAAATGGCGGGGAAGGGTGGAAGGCACTAAGCGTTTGAATCCTCCACCCCAAGTGGCGTTCAGAGGGGGAAGGAAAGTGATATGATTCTGTTGTGAGCGAAGAGCTCACGCCGCTCTTCGGGTAAAAGAAACTGCGGCAATCTGTCGGAATGGCAGGGTAGAATGGGTAGAAAGATCGGTTGTGGGGAGGGAGCACAGAGCAGCGCCGAAGCCTCCTGCTGCTTTGGGGTGCGAATTGGCGCTTCCCTGTAATGCAAATGATCTCTGTAATGTGAGCCAACGTCGAGAGATTGCAATGCGATTAGAAGGCTAAAGGATTCTAAAGACAAGCTGATTAACTTTCAAACCTGCTAGCAAGGAAAGAATTTTTCCTGTTTCGGCCAAGGAAGAATCCTCACAAGCACTGCCTATCTCACACGAGGCTGAGCCAAAACTGGAGAACGCTGGGGAGGAGTCCTGTGGAGGAGGAGGAGCGTTCCACAAATTAAGCCCAGCCTAGACATGCAGAGACTGAAGCACCTTCCACTACTGGATGCTTTGAACAGCTCATGGGAAAGCAGCATGCTTCATTGCTACACTGTGAGGAAAATTCAAGAATTGATATTTGTTCCAGGCCAGATTAATTGCAGTCTAAATGTAGACTTGAAACTCACTCCAATGTTACTGGTAGATCTTTTTATTGTGAGGTTAAAAGGCATATTTCTGCAGAGAAGCTGATCAACAGCAGGTGCTTATCAGGTTATGCTTGATTTGGACTGATATTATCCCTAAATGTAATGTAGCATTTTAACATTTAGAGCCCAATGGACATTTACTAAGTCTCTCTTTGTTTGGATAAATTTGGGTCAGTCACTCCCTCTTAGCCCCCTAGGGAGGAGGCAAGGAAAAACAACTTTTGAAAACACACACACACGGCCAAGGAAAAATAGTTAATAATTTTAAGCTGCTTCAAATCACCAATCAGGCTCTTCTGAACTTGAAAGGCATTCAAGATGCTTGGTGTCACTGACACACTTTGCAGGTATAAGACAATAGTAATGAATAGGCAATAAGCACATTTTATGGGATAAATAGGGAAATTTTATATTGCTGTACATCATGTACATGTACACGGTGGTTCAGTGGCTAAGACGCTGAGCTTGTTGATCAGAAAGGTTGGCAGTTCGGTGGTTCGAATCCCTAGTACAGTGTAACAGAGTGAGCTCCCGCTAACGTAACCCAGCTTCTGCCAACCTAGCAGTTTGAAAGCATGTAAAAATGCAAGTAGAAAAATAGGGATCACTTTGGTGGGAAGGTAACAGCGTTCTGTGTGCCTTCAGCATTTATTCGTGCTGGCCACATGACCACAGAGATGTCTTCGGACAGCGCTGGCTCTTCGGCTTTGTAATGGAGATGAGCTCTGCCCCCTAGAGCCGGAAACGACTAGCACGTATGTGTGAGGGAACCTTTACCTTTTTACACATTTTGGGACATTTATGGGACTTTTAATTCAAAAGCCAGCAGGAGTTGGAAGGAGTATTAGAGTATGTTTGCCCCCTTAAGTTATTTGTAGAAATAATAAAGATATAAATAAAATAGATACATTTATTATGTTTCCTTACTTCATTTAGAAATGGCAGGAGAACTTTTTCAATGCTAACTTTATGAAGCCAGTTCTGGATCGGGATAGATGGAGATGGGACAAACGGGATGCTGATTTTGAGCTTTACCGAAAGCCTGTATTTCAAAACCCAGCTCCTGACACTCATAGAGAAGGTAGGCACTCGATTCCATTCCAGGGCGGTTCTAGATATTTAAATAGTTATATCTGTCTACAAATCCAAATCAGGTATAGGTAGTCCTTGATCTACGGCCTCAATTGAACCCAACATTTCTGTTGTTAAGTGAAACAGTTGTTAAATGAGTTTTGCCCCATCTCTCAACCTTTCTTGCCACAGTTGTTAAGTGAATCACTGCAATTGATAAATTAATAACCTGGTTTCCCCATTGACTTTGCTTGCCCAAAGGGTCATAAGTCACTTTTTTCAGTAGCATTGTAACTTTGAATGGTTACTAAGTGAACTATTGCAAGTCGAACTCTACCTGTATATGATTACAGAGAGTACTTACTGGTCAGTTTTGACTGAAGTTAATTATATTAATCTGAGTTTAGTGAACAGCCAACATTGAACATCACCAAAGAAACTTATTTAGGCCTAGATAAGTTGGAAAAGGTAGCTTTTGCTTAGTATTTTGTCCTTGACTTACTATAGTTTATTTAGTGACTGTTTGAAGTTGTAATGACACTGAAAAATGTGACTTATGGCTGCTTTTCACAGTTACAACCTTTCCAGCATCTTCATGAACATGTGATTAAAATTAAGATATTTGGCAACTGGTTCATATTTATGACCGTTACTATGGTCCCCTTTTGCGACCTTCTGACAAGCAAAGTCAATGGGGAAGCCAGATTCATTTAACAATTTCACCTAATTAAAAGTTAAAGTTTTCCTCCTCTCCCAAACAATTAGTCACATGGTCCAGTCAAGGTTTTGTCCAATTGCCTGGTAAATTCACTCCTCTCTCCGACCACCTGTGGGAATGTCCTTGGTTCCCAGGAGAAAGTATTTTATTTTGGCTACAAACCCCAAATATCTCTATTTCCCCCTTTCCCTCAGCTCCAGTGTGGCAACACTGAAGTCTCAAAATGGCCTCAGTCAGGTCAGCTTCAGGGTTGACAATAGATGATAACAGATGGCGATAAGAGAGAGATGATAGTTGATGGATGGATATAGATATAGATGGCTGGCTGGAGACAGATAGACAGACAGACAGATATAGATTGATATAGACAAAGATCAGAATGAATAGATAATGTTTCCCTAAGAGTCTTACGTTGGGGTAAAGGGATCTACAATGTTTTATACAATTTCTTATATTAGGGTTTCTTATCTAATTTAAGGAGATTATGGTTTGTTCATTAAAATATGAGAAGCAGAATATGAGGCTAAATGTGGAAATACTTACATTTAATGTATTATGTTGCCCTGTTGCTACTATTTTCTAGATTTTTATAGTATCCCACATTTATTCTAGATCTAATTCCAGAATTAAATCAGAAATTCTATTAAAATTAAATTGGAATTGAATGAAGTAACAGAATTGTTATTCAGATGTAAGTAATCTGATTGATATGCTTCTTAAAATGTCTTTCCTGTGTCCTTGTTCAACTGGCGCATCTGAACAAAAGAGCCTACGATACAAGCGTATTTTAATACTGCACTGAAAGTTCACCGGTGCTGCCCAGCAACAGAGCTTATATCTAGTGGACCCAAAGCCAGCTGTCAAATTGCTCGCCTTCAGGGTCTCTTGAAGGATAAACCAGTCAAGTTATCTCTGAAGATGCAGGTAAAGATCCTGGTTTTTGTATAGTTTTAAAATTTTAATTGCATAATTTTAATATTTTGAGCCATGGTTGTGTAGTGATTAGAGTGCAGCACTGCAGGCTACATCTGCTTACTGCCAGCTGACTGCAGTTTGGCAGTTCAAATCTCACCAGGCTTAAGGTTGACTCGACCTTCCATCCTTCTGAGGTGGGTAAAATGAGGACCTAAGTTGTTGGGGGCAATATGCTGACTCTGTAAACTGCTTAGAGGGCTGTGAAGCACTGTAAAGTGATATATAAGTCTAGTGCTATTGCTATTTTAAATAACTTTTCTATTTATCTTTTTATAATGTGTAACCTGCCAGAGTTGTCTTAAGAGGAGAGATACGCAGTATAAAAAAGTTAATAAATAAAATCTGTTACTGAAAATTGCAAACCTTTTATAAGCATCTGTTTCTACTCTATTTGTGTCTCATATTGGATAATATGCTGCATATGGATTTCACGTGTTTGACAAAACATTTTGTATCTTAGTACCAGTGAGGATGCTCAAAATTTTAATTCAAAATATTTTTATCATCATTGCCTGCTGAAATAATCCAAAGATGTTACTGATATATATTATATAGCTACAATCTTCTAACATATTTTTTTGCTAAAGCTCTTAAGGAAAAAGTAAATTAAATGGCATTCTTATCAATCCCAATCTTTCTCATTTTAGTCTTTTCCAGTTCTGGGAGTTTTAAATAATAACATGGGAGAGAGAAGTCCCTGTAAAGGATTTGTTCCTGGTGGAGACATGCACCGAAGCTTGATATCAAACCACAATATTCCGTGCTACGACAGGGCACACGATTCATTTAAAGCTCTGAAAGGAGCAGATTTCAGGTGTGTCACCCGACAGATCAGTAAATCAGTTAAAAAACAACGAATGTGTATGATCTTGAATAGAGTTACAAATAGAAAGGATTTAGTCAAGGGATCACTACAACAAAAGAGAAGAAATTTAAACCTTGTTCCTCTGTAACCCATTTAGAATCTAAGGCAAGATGTGCTGGTCTAATGTCCACGTAATCTATTCAGATCAGGCTCCCAAGGCCAGGCTTCCTTGGTGACCATGAATCTTGAATATTCCAGATCCTGCAGTGATGAAGCAGGCTTTTCTTTATTCTTTTTCTGTTGAAACACATATGCACATCCTATACACCACTTTTATTCTAAATCATGATATATGGGGTTTCTCAGTCATCCAGGTCATGGTTGTCCCCAAAGTGCTGTTTCAAGAGACAACTGGACTTTCTGGTTTTCTGGTTTCTTCTTCAGCTCTGATTGAATCGTGGGGAGTGGAAGGATTTATACTCCTTGCAGTAGCTGGTCATTTGATTCTTTTAGAGAGTCTGTTAAGGCTACCTGGAGGCTTATCTGTGTTCCACACCGATTTGCACTACTCAGATGACCCTGAAGACAGATAAACCTCCAAGTGGCCTCAGTGACTCTCTAAAAGAATGCAAATGACCAGCTGTCTGAAAGGAGTAAAAATCCTTCCATTCCCCACCATCCAGTTAGAGCTGAAGAAGCTTCTTGGATGAGAAGTGAAATGTATTCAAAGAAAAAACAAGAAGATCCAGTTGCCTCTTCAAAAAGCAACTTTGGGACTAAATCATTGTATTTGTGATTGGAAAAATAAGAGTTTTCTTCAGGGACTTTTTGCTGAAAATGAAAAAGAAAACTTGTGATTTATGGATTTGATGATTAGAAAGGGAAGAATATGGAAAAGAAACCATTATGTAACCTTAAGAGGATAAAATATAAATGCATTTATGACTGATGTAAAGAAGAATGGAAGCCACATGGTATATATTCTTTGTTCTTTTTCTCCCTTTTATTTCTTCCTTATTTACTTACCACTTTTCTTCACTTTTATTTTTATTTTTTTAAAAAAATTACATTAAAAATTCTTTAATAAAATTATTTTAAAAAATGAGAAAGCTTTGATTGATGTAAAGATCTCTTTTTTTGGAGATAATTTACGCCATCGTGTCTCAAGCCAGCACTTCATTTAATTTTGCTCCATCCAAACTTGAACATTTAGCATCTTAATCTCTTTGACATATGTTTCTTCTAGTCTAACCATTGGGTGTGCTTTTTGTCCTAGACTAATTTGTCAGAATCATTCATATCATTACAAGAGGTATTCCCCACAGAATTCGTGCTTAAAGGAACATGTCTCAGCAAAGGATGAAACAGAGAATGCAGGTAATGTCGGAATAATTGTAGGTAGTATACATGCAAAAGAATTGGCCAAAGGTGCTGTACCCTAGAAACGAACTGGTAATATTTTATTTACAGGTAGTCCTTGACTTATGATGGTAATTGGGACAGGAATTTCTGTCAGTCAGTGATGCACCCATTAAATGGCAACATCATGTGACCATAGCAATAGCAATAGAAATCTAGACAGTCCCTATTGCATTGGTGGGCTGTGCCTCATTAAATGTTAAACCTCATTTGATCATAACTTGTGAGTTCCTGTTGGTTTCAACAAGCAAAGTCAATGACGAAGCCAGCAGAAAATCACAAGTCCCAGAAGGCTTGCAAGCAGGTTGGTGGACAGTTAAGCAGCCTACATAGTGCTGTGTGAATATGGCTGGAGGGCGGGGGGAGGGAGGGAGGGCGGGAGAGAGAGAGAAATATATGAATAAATATGTGCATTCATGGGCATCTGTATAACATCTGCACACACGTGCGGGCGCACACACACACACACACATACAGTATTTATTTGTTCCAAATTTTTTCCATAAAGACATTGGGGATCTATATTTTTAGTATCATACAGTGACCATAGACTGTACTTTCTAATGCTGAGGAGGGAAGGAGAGAAGAGAGGAAGGGATGGATGGATGATAGAGAGATTGATAGTTTATCATCAACTGGAAGCAGGCTTATGTAATTTATTACTTTATTTGTATTTTACAAAATTGCACTGTAATATATGAAACCGTGTATGTTATTAGTTATGCATTTTGCCTCACATCGAAGAATATACCCGAAGATCCAGTTGGAATACATTCAGTTACTATGTTCTCTGGCTCTAGCAATATTTTTCAGCTTTCAAAAAGTCCTATTTAGGGGGTGCGAACAAATATAAGATCTTTTCTCCAGCACCTGACTTGCCACTTTTTTAATGTCCTCATCCAGGTTTTCAGGAGAATCTAGAGATAATGGAAACAAAAGCAATTGATCCTTTAAAGACACATCTCAATGAGAAACAAGACAAGCTACTGAGCAGCTAGCAACAAGTGCATGCAGGTAATCCTCAACTTATGACCACAATTGAGCCCAAAATTTATGTTGCTAAAGTGAAAAATTCGTTAAGCGAGTTTTGCCCCATTTTTTTGACTTTCCTTGCCACATTTGTTAAGTGAATGGCTGCAGTTGTTAAATGAGTAACACGGATGTTAAGTGAATCTGGTTTCCCCATTAACTTTGCTTGTCAGGAGGTTGCAGAAGGGGATTCACATGACCTTGAGACACTGCATCATAAATGTGAATCATGGGGATGCTGCAATGATCCTAAGTGCGAAAAATGGTGATCATTCGTTTTCAGTGCCGTTGTAACTTCGACTGGTCACTAAGTGAACCTGTTGTAAGTCGAGGACTACCTGTATTCTTCATTATGTGGAAGAATGAAAAACCTGCTTTGCTCGAACTTAAGATATATTAACGGCATGTTTTAGAAAGGGCGGCAGTAGTACTATTTCAGCTTTAGCGGGTTTGCTTTAACAAGTATTTACTATTCTGTTGACACCTTAGAGGGGTGACAATTTTATTGATGTATTTGATCAATTTAGGTGAGCTACATACACGACTCTGGGAAGCTTGCAAGTTAAAAACACACAAACTCAAGCTGCCCCCCCCAAATCATAACAAAAAGCTTTAAAATATTGAAACAAGAATTGTTAAAAAAACATGATCTGTATCATAAATACAAAGTTACTTTTCCATTAACTCATAAGTGCAAACAGTTGCTATATAAGACAGTTGCTAAACAAAGAATACCCATATAACCTTTTAGCAGGCTCCACACAACTACTTGCCAACTCCCCAGGAGATGGTAATTATGGGCCCTTCTGGAAGGCCAACGTGACTTCAGGGGAGAAAACGTTTCAGCGAGGGGGTGCCATGGCAGAACAGCGTCTCCTCCTGAGTCCCATCAGTTGACATTCCTTAGTGGATGGGCCCAATAACTTGCCCCTGCTGCTAGACTTGATGGGATGGGTAGATGCAACTGGAGAAAGGCAGTCCCTCAAATAACCCAGCCCTAGGCCTTTAAGGGGTGATTATCAAACACCTTGAATTGAACCTGGAAGCATACTGCTAATCAACACAGCTTGGAGAGCAAAAGTGAAACATGCTCTGATGTAGGTGCCCACACCACTGCTTTTTGCACAAGCTGAACCTTCTGGTTGCTCTTCAAGGGCAGCCCCATATACAGAAGATTTCAGTAATCTATGCAGGAGCGATTGTAGAGCTTTCTGATGAAGAATTGGCTCAACTGGTACACAACCTGAAGTTGCTCAAAGGGTCTCCTAGGACAGCTAGCGTCTCATTGAGCAGGAGTTGTGAGTCCATAAGGATCCCCCAGATTGTGCCCAGGGTCAGTGCCACCCATCCAGAACCAAAGACAGTAAGTTCCCAAATACTGATGGTCCCAAAATCACAAATCACATAATTTTGTCAGGCCATGTCAGTAACTGGCCAACCTAGGTGCAGAAGCCGAGCAAGATCAGATCTGGCTAGTAATTGGATTGAAGATTTTCAAAGGGTATCAGATCAACAGGCCAAATCCAGAAGCCCCCCCAACCCAGTGATGGGATTCAAATAATTTAACAACCGGTTCTCTGCCCTAATTATTTCTTCCAACAACCAGTTCGCCAAACTGCTCAGAAACCGGTTCTCCCAAAGTGGTGCAAACTGGCTGAATCCCACCACTGCCCACCCCCCCCAAATAAAAAATCAGTAAAGACAATAATAAGCCATCTTCACAGCAATGGCAACAAAAATGTCATGTCCATGAAATCACCAGGAATAAAATTTTAGTTGAAGGATTTTTAAAGATACTTTGTTACAGCTGAAGTAGCAATACTGCATTCAATTGTACACTTACCTTTTTGTAATGATACCATTGTGTAATTATTCTCAAAACAAGCTTCAGTGCAGAAAATATTTGCAAGCAGCACCTAGAAATCAGTTATTAGCAGTTTGAATGCTGTTCCTAAGTGTACTTCAAGAATTTTAATATAATCATCAACTCCTGATATACATGGTTTGGACACAAAATCGGCTTATTGAACTCTCGCTACACCATATATCTGCTTAGCAATAGGAACTGACTTTCTCTCTCTTCCCCCTCCCTCTCAGCTTCACGTTGCTTGTTACCTCACGGATGACTAACTCCATGACTGAAGCTTGAAAGATTAATAGAAGAGTTTTTATATTAGTTGCCTGTACAATAATCAGAATCTAACAATAAATTCAAATCTTCTGAAGAAATTCTTTAATTTTTTACACTTTGTTCAATGTTTGGTTTTGTAATCTGACAATCAGTCTGAAACATTGGTTTTTGTCCTTTTTAAGACATACAGATTTCAGTACCTAAATTCTAGAGGAAGAATAATTATTTTGCTAATTCATTGTTACAAGCCTATTGTGGATCATACACCAGTGAAGGCAGGATAATCAAATATAACATGGTAAGCAGTAGTCATTTCTGTTCATCTCCAACATCTACTTGCAAACTTTGTACATGGGGTTCCATTTAGCTTTTTGTAATCATAAGAAAATTACCATGGATATGCCAAATTATTTCAAAATTATGCTAATGCACTGGAGAATCAAAGCAAGAATCTGCTCTTTTTTACAAAATCATTTTGTCACAAATGACAAGATAATTCTTTTTTTTTTTTAATGCTGCAACTGGACATAACTTTGTTCTCAACTTAAAAATAAAAATAATTTGAATTTCCTCCTTCTGCCTGTTTTATTATGTCATTCAAGTTTATCACATTAAGATGCAAAACAAACTCACCTCATGATCATGATTATTCAAACCAATGCACATAGATCGGGTAGCCCTGGATATGACTGCAGTCATTGCATATAAATTAATGACAACGTTTGCCACTTTTTTAAGAATCATCTGCTCATCCACAATAGTCTAGTATTAAAGAAAACAGTAATAAAGAATCACTAGCTATCATGAATTGTAATGCTTATAAACAAATATAGTAATCATCAAATTGCCATACTGATACATGGTTAGTGAAAAATGTCTAGGCAGATTATGGAAAACAACAACTGATTTGTGTATGTTCTAAGGAAGTGTTTTAGTGGAAGGAAACTTCAGACATGTAATTTGCCTAGATTAGTAGAATGTGACAAGAAAATACCGTGTTTCTCCAACAATACGGCCTCCACCAATAGGAAGGCCCAGCATGATTTCTAGGCATGAGGTGAAATTAAGCTCGCCCCCAAAATTTAGGCCTATTAAAACCATGCGTTTCTCCACCATTTCTCACATTGTTCGTTAAAACTACATGAGGTGAAGAGAAATGGGGGTGAAGGGCGGGGGGATGGGGAGAAAACTTGCCTTTAGGAGTGCCCTGCAAGTAGCCTAGGCTAGAATACCGATAACCTATAGAAGCTCCCCGAAGGCAGAGTCCCCAGCCGCTTCAGGGCGTGGCATGGCTGCCCGTGTCTCCTCGCCTTTAGGTAGTCTCTTTCGGGCGATGGAAGCTCCCCAAGTGCAGTCACCAGCCACTTTGATCGGTCGGTAGAAGAAGCCTCGTGGTGAGCGGAGTGTGTGTGTGCACTCGCCCCGAGGCCGCTTCTACCGGCCGATCGAAGTGGCTGGTGACTGCCCTTGGGGAGCTTCCATCGCTTGAAAGAGACTGCCTAATGGCGAGGGGACACGGGCAGCCACGCCTCACCCCGAAGCAGCTGGGGAGAACTCCGCCTTCGGGGAGCTTTCGTCGGCCAATAGAAGCAGCCTCGCGGCTAGGTACGTGCATATCGGCCACTCTAGGTGGGGGAGAAAATTAAGTCACCCCCGAAAAGACGGCCTAGCCGTTTTGGGGAGGTCAAAGAAAAAAACAAGGCCCAGCCTTATTTTGTGAGAAACACGGTGAGAAGACAAATAGGTAAGTCATGTTTACCTTGCCAAACCTCATTAGTAAATTTTCAACTGTGTTTCCAAACTCAAAGACGTTTTGCTCAAGTTTCTCAACACTTTCCTACAAAGAAAAAATCCAGACACTATATTTTCATCTCAAGTTGAGACATGGACATCAAGTGCATATTTACATGACCTAAGTGTATTATGCACACAATGTAGATGGCTATTCAAAATCAATATAGCAAGAAAAGAACTGATCTTTTGCTGGTTTGTTGATTTATTGATTTTAATACAAGCATGCTTTTTATTAAAAAGAGAGGGTAGGTGGTCAG